AGGAAACAAACACCTGTTCACACCAGTTTTCCTACTCCAAGACAGGCTCTGGAATAGTGCTCTCCTGACACAACTGATCAGCAAAGGCTCACACCTGGAAGTATTTATGCCAGAAACCACACAGCTCAAGCTCTTGAGATTCATAACAAAACCCCTCCAAACTATATCTGACTGGTTCAGGAATGCAGCACAAAGTACAGCCATTTTTCCAAAGCCAAAGAGGGGTCCAGAGACATGCCAGAATACATAGGCTGGTATCAACCAGTAAGAAAACCAGAGGAAGTGACACCTAACTCATTCCAAATGCAAATGTAGATTTGGAATATTCAGGGAAACCATTTAGCCAGTCAGGCTCTCACTTAAATGGGAAGAAACATTCTGAACATGAAGTGCTTCTTATTTTCCAGAAGACACCAGGCTATGGCTAACACACAGTAGCTTATTAGAAAACAAGATTAGAGAGCTCTGTTCCTGAAAAAGATATAATCTCTTAACAGAAAATATATGAAAGAAGAAATCTAACAACACAGGACTCATCTCCATGAACAAGGGTACAATGACACAAGTAGCTGAAACTGTTTGAGAAAGCCTTTCTCCACCTTGGTCACTATAGCAAGAATACTGGATACAGTCCTTGGTGTTTCAGCTCTTTCTCTGTCGCATGTCTGTTATCACTCTCTCTTTTCCCTCCTTCAGTCTTCTGTTGATTTGAAAACACTCCAGGACAGAAGTAATCTTTTATTGCGTGCTAATTTGTGGCCTCTGGGAAAATCTACAAGTGAAGAGTCTAAGCAGAGCTCCCTTATTAAGTTCTGCCTGAGCGCATAATTGCAAAGATCAACAGCAAAGCAGATAGGAAAAAAATAAAAATACCCATCTATTATTTTAAATAGAGATTCAGCTTAGAACTGTTGCTAAATGGAGCAATGTTTAAAACACAAGAACAGATCCCCAAGTTGTTAGACATCCTCTGAAACCATTGGTTGTGCCCTGTGCTGTCTACAAAGTAACATGAAGAATCTAACCAGACAGAAGGAATCCAAACTATGGGTAAATTAAACCAGTTGATAAATTTTAGCATAGTTAGCGCAAGGCTCACATGAATTCAAAATACTTTTGATCAATTCTCTAACTAGCCAGAAAAATGAGGATGAAATGCAAAATTTTGGCTTGTTATTTTAAAAGTCATATAACAGAATTAAGACTCAAGAAAGGAACACCATAGAACTCTACTATTTAATTGCTATGGCAACTTGCAAAGCAGTTTTACAGAGTGGTTCTAGCAGTTCTCTCCTACTATTCAAAACAAATACACTGAACACTAAAATTTAAAGAGAAACAGTTAATATGCTCTATTAACACATTTAAGAGTGTTATCATCCATAAAGTGAATTTTATATTCCATTTATATGTCAAGTGCGACATATTGTAGCACTTGAAACTATTCATTTAGGGCTATGGGACTGGGGAGAGGACCTCCTAGGTTACAGGTCCAATCTATAGCTGATTTAGTCCGCCCACATTTATCAAGTCCTGAATTAAAACTATTAGAGTTTTCTTACTCACACTGCTTTAAAAATGTCATTCTAAAGCCTCACCCTAATGATAGTTTGAAGTCTTCTATGAAGTACTTGACACACCTTACTTACAACCATATGATATCTTTTTACTGTTTGCCAACATTTTCTTTCAGTTTAAATAACTTTTCCTGCTTTGATATTTATTCTGTCCCTAGCTCCTCCATACAGAAAACTATCACATTCTTTCTTAGTTTTAACTTTGCTATGCTAAACAAGCCATAAGCAAGTATATACACACATAATAAATACATACACACAAATATTTTTAAGTGTATACACACACACATATATGTACATATTTATGAAGGAAGGGAATTAGACCAGATTCTATAACTATAAAGAAAAAATGTAAACTGTCAAATGAGAAGTGTATATTTTATAGATTATTTTCATTGCTAGTGTTGAGGTAAAGGTCAATCAATTGTGTTGAAATGGCGCATGGACATGCATAAAAATGAGATCCTTACATGCATAATTGTCAGAAGTAATCGAAGCAAGTTTGGGACAGGCAATTATGTCTAGTAGCAGCTAGAATTCAAAGTGCTTCAGAAAAAGGTGATTGTAGTGAAAGTTTAAAGCCTATAAATTCTGTTCATGCCCTGAAAGCTAAGGATCTCTTTTCTCTGTGCTCCTTCCCCATTGAAATGGAACAATCATACTCATGGCCACAAAATAGTCTCAAATTATTCTGACTCAAGTTGTTCAGTACCTTGTAGCAGAACTCTTTGCTCTTATAAGTTTTAAGAGTGTCACTTAATACTAACTGTTTTTAGTTTTCATATGACAAATGGGAAACAAGACCTACTCTACCTTCTCAGTCTACGCTAGTCATTTATTTTCCAACTACCATGCACTCTAATTCATCCACATTTGAAAATAAAAACTTACAGTATTTTCAGCCTCTTCTCCTAAGAAAAACTTAGTGGTTTCTAACTATTTTGTCACAAAGACTACTACTTTTCTCTTGCAAAACAAACGGATCATAGCAATTCAAGTAAAAACAAGCCTTAGATTTCTAGAGTGGTGTTTTAACCTTCCCGTACTAATCTTTATCTCTGTGTAATCTAACATTTTTCTTATTCTTTGCCCAACAATGAGGAAGCTTTCATCTCAACTCACATTTGAAATTTACTCTAGGATGCAACTGGATTGTCTTCCAAGAGTGTTTCAGAAATATTTAAAGAGGAAGGTTTGCTGCACTGTCACCAACAAAAAGCACTGCTACCAGTTGCTGTTGGCATGAAAAAGGTCAATATTCTTCAGCCAGTCATAATGAAAATTGACAGCAGACCTATCCTCCTAACAGGTATTCAGTTTGGTGGGTTCCACTCAACTGGACAGTTTTGTCACTTGGTTTTTGATACATTAGGTATTACACCAGAGTTTTCATTACTTAGAAGGACATTGGAAAAATATGGCCCATGAAACTACAATGCACAATGCTTGCAGTGTAGCATGAGTGCTTGTCTTCACTGTCCCACTCCAGCAAATAAAAACAGAACTCAGGTTTGGTTTTGTGTGTTTTGAAGGTCAAGAAAAATTGGATTTTGTTAGTGAGGAATAATTAGGTGATTAAGGTGATATAGCTTAACACACCTTCTGGGTGCACTGACTTACTATACCAAAAATTGCAGCTTTAAACTGAAATGCCAGCTATTGTATGCTCTTAATGAAAACTCATTTTGAGGTGATTCACCTAGTGTCTCCTTGAGGGTGGCATTGGTACTGTTCTATCATCATACTGTGTTCTTAGGAGGTTGCTAATGACACAAATGACTCAAAAATTGGCCATATCACTGTCTTCACATGATAACAAAATCAGATCATCATTCATGCTACAAGCTCTAATTTCTCTAGCTTCTTTTGTACCAGAATCAGCCGGTTCACTGCTTTTAAAGATAGCTCATTCTAAACTGATTTACCATGTGCATAAACAGCTGAGGTAGAATAGAGGAAGATGGAATAGAAGGAGAGAAATTGTTGGAATGACCAGCTGGTTGGAATGAGAGTATAATCACCTCTTTGAGCAGCAGCATTGCTTCCTGTCAGCTTAAGCAGTTTGTGGAATTATAGTTAGTTTGCAAGCTGAAGAGCCACTGTAACCTTGCTTAAACAAACATAACAGATTAACAGTCTAACTATATGCTTTGGGAGAATGAATGTCCTTCTGGCAATCATTGCTGGTAAATAGAAAACCTGTCTATCTGATAATTGTTATCCAGTTATCCAATATCTCTGACATAATAATTATCCAAAGCCAATATCCAGGTTTCAGTGCCCAACCAGGAATTCCAATTCATATACTAAGACTGATTAACTGGCATGAGTCCCATCACCCCCACTGGCAGGGTTACCTCAGTGAAGCCTGCTTCATCATGAGCAGTTCACTGTGTTCCATTCAATAACATCTTAAATTATACCATCATCTTATTCAAAAATAAAATATTAAAAATGAAAAAGCTCTCAGGTCTGCAATTTAAATGGCCACCTTATTTAAACTGTCATGGGCTTTGAACCCTCAGTGACTGCAAAATGTGCATGATCTGAAAAATAACACTGCTGCCCTTGCACAGTTCCTTCAGGAATTTGATGCAAAATAGAACAGGAATAAAGGAAGAGCTACACTTTAATTTCATTAAAAACTAAGCATCATAGCAGAACCAACAGCAAAACAGCATTAACTGAAGGCAGCATTTCTGAGCATATGATGAAGTAAGTTTTCACTGAAGGAGGTATGTTTGAATGTTTGCATGAACACCCATATGCTTCATATTTGTATATACACAAAAACAAAAGTTCAGCTTGCATTATACCACATATTATATTACAAATTTCAAATAATACATTCTTTGTATTTGTATAAAATACAAAAAATACATTATTTATGAAAATCTGGGAAAACTGAATAATGCTTTACTTTTAGATTGCATCAGATAAGCATATATCTATTACTAGAAGTCATTAAAACATATACTATAACTCCCTCAGTAATGGCATCCTTAGGGAAGGGGTAAGGCTGGCATAAGTAAAATACAAAACAGCTTATTAAAAACTGAGAATATACCTTATTTCCCTGGTTATACAACAGATAAGAATTACATTAAAAATAGGATCCTGTAATAAGAAAACTCAAAAAAAAAGCAGAACAACAATACATTGCAACCCATGTCTTTAAGAAATGTCACAAAAGTACCTGGAACACTTGTCCTAGACAGGACTGTCTCAACTGTGTAGTAGCTCTTATTCGTTAACTTTGAAGGCACTGATTCACTAGCATATTCTAAAGAACTAAGGGTAAACCAAGAGCTGCCTTTTAAAAGTAATTTAGAAACAGCTATGAGAAGTTCAAAATTCCAGCGGCTGCCATTAAAAGAAAAAAAAAAAAAACGAATCTTGCAAACTCACCTCCTACTATCCAACACACCAGAGCTGTTGTTTGTTTCAATTTGGAGAAACTGTTTCAGTGTGTTTCAGCTGGCACTGTGTGGTAGCTGTTTCAAATATTAACAGAAAAGATTAAATGTGACCATTTAAGAACACAATATTGAAGTTACTGCATAGGAGTGAACTTTATATTTACTTTAATATACATAATATGCACAAAACCATGCCAATACAAGCTTTATGTTTACTTCAGCAGAAGCAGTGTTAGATTCAGACCCTCAAACAGAGCACAAAACCATTTTAAGCTGATACTGAGAAAATGAGCTAGACAGGGTTTTGATTTTCTTTTTTTTTTTCCTCTTTCAAGCTGAGTGGTTAAGTTTTGGACCCTCTGAAAATTCTTGTGGTATTTTAAATAAAGCGATTCACTTGGAGACATAAAAAGCCTAGATTTGTTGGGTAACAGGTAGGACTCAGTCCACTGTGTTCTTAGTGTAAGCAGGAGAGAGGCGTTCTCTGAACAGCAGAAGTCTTTGCTTTTCACTCGCTGTCGCCTTCCATATTTTGCCAGCAGGTGGCAAGATGACAGCAAAAGGGATAACGCGAAGTTCGTGTGATTCACACATTAGTAGCCAACTGCCGCCCTCTGTTGTAGCGGTGGAAGAAGTCACAGCTCCTTAAATGCCGTGACTCCAGAAAATGGCACACTGCATTTTCTGGATTTGCAAAATGTTGAGAAGCTGAAAGTAATCAGGGTTCCACATAGCTCTACAAGCCAACTTGTAAAATAACTGACAAAGTAGGCAAAGGTTTTGTTTTGCAGTCTGTGTTGCAATTGCAGCTACATGGTACTCCATCTTCCTACACACCCTGATGAGTACTCAGTGCGACTTAGTTCTAGAAAAAACATTCTGAATAAGGACCACAACGAAAAGGAGCAGACCATGGTTTTTATGATCTTAGTGAAGTCTAGCATACTTAAAGAAAACGCAAAGTCTAAGCCAACAGTCGAGATAAATAGGGAGGCACTGAAGCCAACTCGATGACGTAAACGAAACACAAGGACAGGTAAATAGAAACACGGGTGACAAAATAGCTGAAATTCGAGTTTAAGAAAAAAGACTTCTCAGAGAGTCCTTGCTGAGCTTCTCTAATTTTAAATTTATTCCTAGATTGTGGAATTTGGCATGAAATCGACATCCATGAGGTGGGATGGCTCCAGTTTTAAGTAAAACCCAAGAAAGGATTCATTGTAACTATGGAGGAGAAAAAAAAAAACCTCTTGTTATTGGAAATTTTAAAGATATCTTCCATTAGGAATAATTTTGGGAACTTATTTCAACAAAAAGTCTGTAATACAAAGCTTTTGGTCTAGAGGGCTACCTCTTCACCTGTTCCTCCACTTCCCTGAACAGCACAATGTATCGTACAAAAAAGAATAACTCAAAGGTCCTTACCAACATTGTTCTATAAGATACCACTAACTGAGGTCACACCCCCCCCCCCCCCCCCCCCAAAAAGCCTTTGAAACAAGTAAATTCTATTGTTCCTCAGATGCTTTTATCAAATCTTACCTGCAACCAGGATGGAAAAACAAGGAGAGGGTGAATAGATGCACCTCCTTCTAAAGAGATGCTGGAGAGATACTGGTAATATTTTATTTTTTACTGAAGCGACATAGCATATTGCGAAACAACACTCTAAGTAGTGACCCAAGTCTGATCTCACTTTACAAACCTGCAAGGCAGAAGTCAGTTGAGTTGCACTACTGTAACATTGCAATCAGGTCTACAGCAACAAATTCCCTCACAATGCATGATGCATGGATGAGATTTAAACATCTACAAAAGAAAGGAAAGAGGATTCAGTAAAGAAAATCTGAAGAACCATTAAACTGAGTAACAATAAAAGGAGTGCCTAAACACAAGATTTGTTATAACAAAGTCTTCTCACTACAATTCAGAGTTAAAATAAGATGTTTAAGCTGGGCACACGTTTTTCTTCTTCCACTGCTGCCTTCTTAGAAACACTTACTAGATGTAGTATTAAAAGTAACCAGCACGTAGAATATGAATGCAGCTAGCACTCCTCTTACTCCTTCAAACCATGATTTTTCCCACTATTTTCAAGAGCTGTTTGCAGTGCAATGCAGCAAACAATTTGCTGTGACAACAGCAAACAGCCATGTTTAATTCAGACATTGTCATTATATTATTTCATTTGAACCCTGTGAATCTGCTCCAATTCTTGGTCTAATCAGTATGAAATACTGTAATGATTTCAGGAAGTGCAGGTCTGTGCCCAGTGCTTTTCACCTGTTTCTTCCTCACTCCACAAACAAACCTCAAAATAAGTAACCACAGTAGTAGGTAGGGATGCAAAGCTGGATGTATCTTATGCTCATAAGATACAAATGAGAAATAAACAAACCTTTCTTGAAGGAAAAGGAGAGATGCTGTGTTTTGTGGAATAAACAGTGAGCCTTTCCACCACAAGGTTTTCTGCTTTAAGGCCATGTTAGCCCTGTAAGTACTACCACAGGGAGTTCAATACCAAAATAGTCAGATTTCAAGCAAAATCAAGCACCACAAGAAAATGAGTGCTTGCTTTTGTATGACAGAAAATAAAAGTCCACAGCAGTTTGCCATGTTCTCATGCAATGGAGCCACACTCCAGAAATTACTTGTATGACCAGATTTTATTGGGACGGTCATCATGAGATGAGGACTTGCCATCCTTTCCTGCTTGGACATGAATTATCAGAATGCACCCAACTCTGCTTAAATAACATTGAAATATTAGTCTAACTTGGTTTTCTAAACATTCACAAAACAGTGCAAAACACTTCTTTCTGCAAGGTGATCTTAAGGTCCTTTCCAACCCTAACTATTCTATGATAGCTGAAAGTTTAGGCTTGTGGTTATGGCTCCCCCAGAATACTGTGTATGCATTTTGGCACGTTTTTTCTATTTAGAAAAACATTATTTACCCCACTGACCTGGCATGTAAAGCTGTGTATATATATATATATATATATATATATATATATTATTATTATTATTATTTATTTTTTAAGGTCAGTACACTGTTATCATATACTTTACTGAAAATTCTTAGCCTTCAAAGCCTATGAAGGCAGTGAAGCAGTGCTGACTTTCAGCTTGCCACAGAAAGAAGTGATTTGCATAGCAGTGCTCATCCTGCAGTGCTCTACAAAAGCATGAGTGGTGTTAGCTCCAGCTGAATCAAGAGGAACTGAGGATGTTCCGCTCCTTTCATACCTGAGGTTGGTACTTTTGTAGAGAGCTCTGTAGTGGTGGATGTGAAGATACAGACAGCATGTATGTAACTGGCTGCATAACAGCAAGATTTGAACCATATACCACAACAGTGACATTTTAATCTTAAATCAGTATTAAGCTTAAAGATTCAGAATTATTCCAGTCTGCAGGTGATTCATGGACAGGAAATGGCTTAGGACAGAAAAACAGATTGCTTGCATAAAAATGCATTGCAGCTCTAAAGCACACTCCATAATGAGAAAAAAAAATGCTGCTTTCCTGTGGAAACATTGAGATTTAAAAGCACCAATATCCTTCTCTAAACATAATATTATCAATTAATTTTTTATAACCAAGAAGGATATTCCAGAATGGCACATATGTGATGTCCTGCTCCAACCGCACTGAACTGTATATCTTTCAAATTCATGATGGATGGAGACAACTGAAGCATTTTTTTAGAGATACTCAGCACTCCTCTGATTTATCAGCAAGAGTGAAGAAACCAGGGAATTTTCTAAGTATAAATAATTATTTGCAGATCATTTAAGAACCAAACATTTATTAAGGAAACTTTAATCAAAAGAAATTTGGATCAATTGCTGAGGTGAGTGGCTCGAGAGAAGACGCCTTCAACACCGGAGCGGGGGGGAGATCAGCGTCCAGGAGCTTCAACTCAGAGCGACAAGAGCCACCGAGGGAGCCTCAAGTCCTCGACAGGACCTGCCCAGGAGCCGGCAGCTCAGCTGACGAGAGCGAGCAGCTGACTCACACGGGGCGGAGCCTGAAGCAGCGGCACCAGCCCTGACTGGTCAAAAAACTGCCCCGGGGAGCGCGACCGACCAGGAGCGCGGCGAGCAGAGCGGGCCAGAGGCGGTTTGCGCGGCAGTTCGAGCGGGATAGTGAGCACTCGTCGTATGATCAGGGCCTGGTCCGGCAGCTCTGCTCTGGCTGCCCCGGCGGTGGCAGCGTAGGCACCCAGACAGAGCCGATGAGAGGGGAGGCTGCAGTGCAGAGCTCGGGGTGTAGAGAGTGCCCGCACTGGTCTGGTGAGGGGAGGGTGCACGATGGGCAGGGCTGCACTCGGTGCTCCCTGCGGGAGGTCCTCCTGCAGCAGGGGCTGAGCTGCGGGATGCTGTTAATAGACTGCGAGATGTCAGGGAAGCTGAGAGGAAGCAGGAATGCTTGCTCCCGGCCCAAACTGTGCAGGGGCCTCGAGCTTCACCTCTACCTCATGAAGGAAAGAAGGAGACCGTTAACCTGGGAAGCTAGGAATCAGTGACAAAAAAAAAAAACAAACAACAAACAAACAAAAAAAGAAAGAAAAGGACAACCAAAAGCAAGGGGCTTCCCCCTAAATCTGTTGTCCCCATGCAGAACCGCTTTGCTGTTCTGCAGGGGGCTAATGAGGAAACGCACTCCAGCCGGAAATAGCCAGCTGATGCACTGGTAAAGAAGATCTCTACTGGTGCTGCCAGGAAAAAGCGGCGGGTCGTAGTAGTAGGGGACTCTACACTGAAAGGGACAGAAGCACTTGTCTGCCGGCCAGACCCCATCTCAAGGGAGGTGTGTTGCCTACCGGGGCACGGGATCAGGGATGTGGCAGAGAGGCTGCCTGCTCTAGTAAGTCCCACGGACTATTACCCACTCCTGGTGATACATGTTGGGTGCTAGGGATATAGATAGTAGCAGCCAGGGGAACATAAAGAAGGACTACAGAGCCCTGGGGGAGGTGGTTAGGGGCTCTGGAGCTCAGGTAGTCTTTTCATCAATTCTCCTGGATACAGGGGAGGACCTAAAAAAAGCTAGGAGGATTAGTCAGGTTAATATAATGGTTAAAAGGGTGGTGTCATAGTCAGGGGTTTGGGTGCCTTGAACACAGGACCCAAGGTTTGTAGGCCAGGTCTAGTGGGGGCTGGTGGAGCTGGTCTGATAAAGAAGGGAAAGAGCAGTTTTGGTAGGAGGCTTGCCAGACTGGTCAAGGAGGCTTTAAACTAGATGTGTTGGGGGAGGGGGCATCATTCCATCCCAACACACATAGTCAGTTGCCAGCACCTATAATAAGTGCTCTGAGCAATGTAGAGATATTCCAGCCGCTCCAGCCAATGAGCCGGCTTCAGTTGGAGCTCGGCTCAGATGCCTCTATACAAATGCCCGTAGCATGGGGAACAAACAAGAGGAATTAGAGATGTGCTCATCTACGGGGGTATGATATAATAGGCATAGCAGAAACATGGTGGGATGGCTCCTATGACTGGAGTGTGGGAATGGAAGGTTACAGGTTCTTTAGAAAAGACAGGGTGGTAGGGAGGGGGAGTTCCCCTTTATGTTATTAGGGATAGGCTGGAGAGTATGGAACGCTGTCTGGGGACAGGTGAGCAGTTAACAGAGAGTTTGTGGGTCAGGGTTAAAGGGAATATAGCTATGGGAGACATTACTATGGGGATCTGTTACAGACCGCCTGATCAAGGAGAACCTGCAGATGAAGCACTCCATAGACAGATAGGAAAAGCCTCACGCTCGCAGGCCCTTGTTCTCATGGGTGACTTCAACCATCCTGACATCTGTTGGAAGGACGGTACGGCCCGGCACAAGCAATCCAGGAGGTTCCTCAGTTGTGTGGAAGACAACTTCCTTCTGCAAGTAATAGAGGAGCCGACAAGGAGAGGTGCCATGCTTGACCTCGTGCTCACCAACACTTGTGACTTGTTGGAAATGTGACTCTCCAGGGCAGCCTTGGATGCAGCGATCACGAGATGCTCGAATTTGAGATCCTCAGGACAGTGAGAAGAGCGTGCAGCAAGCTCACTGCCCTGGGCTTCAAAAGAACAGACTTTGGCCTCTTCAGGAACCTGCTTAGTAAGGTTCCATGGGATAGAGCCCTAGAGGGGAGGGGGCCCAAGACTCTTGGTTGATATTCAAGGATCACCTGCTACAAGCTCAGGAGTGTTGCATCCCAACTAGAAGGAAGTGCAGCAGGAGGGCCAGGAGACCTCCTTGGATGGATAAGGAGCTCCTGAGGAAAATTCAAATGAAAAAAGAGGCTTATAATGAGTAGAAGCAAGGACAGGTGGCATGGGAAGAGTACAGGGATGCTGTCCAGGAGGCTAGGGACCAGGTTAGGAAAGCTAAGGCCCAGTTAGAATTAAACTTAGCTGGAGGTATTAAGGATAACAGGAAGGGATTCTACAGGTATATAGCAAATAAAAAACAGACTAGGGAGAATGTAGGCCCCCTCAGGAAGCTCTCAGGAGAACTGGCTACACAGGATTTGGAGAAGGCTGAGGTTCTGAATGACTTCTTTGCCTCAGTCTTCACTGGCAAAGGCTCTGACCAAACCACCCAAGTCTTGGAAGGCAGATGCAGGGACTGTGAGAATGAAGACCTTAGGCCCACTGTAGGAGGGGAACTGGTTCGAGACCATCTTAAAAATCTGAACGTGCACAAGTCCATGGGTCCTGATGAGATCCATTCATGGGTCCTGAAGGAGCTGGCAAATGAAGTGGCTAAGCCGCTGGCCATCATATTTGAGAAATCATGGCAGTCAGGTGAAGTTCCCGATGACTGGAAAAAGGGAAATACAACCCCTATTTTCAAGACGGGGAAAATGGATGACCTGGGGAATTACAGACCAGTCAGTCTCACCTCTGTGCCTGGCAAAATCTTGGAGCAGATTCTCCTGGAAGGCATGCTAAGACACATGAAAATCAACAAGGTGCTTGGTGACAGCCAGCATGGCTTCACTAAGGGGAAATCCTGCCTGACCAATTTGGTGGCCTTCTATGATGGGGCTACAGAACTGATGAACAGGGGTAGAGCAGTTGATGTCATCTACCTGGACTTGTGTAAAGCGTTCGACACTGTCCCACAAGACATCCCTGTCTCTAAATTGGAGAGACATCAACTTGATGGATGGACCACTCGGTGGATAAAGAACTGGCTGCATGGCTGCATGCAAAGAGTTGTGGTCAATGGCTCAATGTCCAGCTGGAGACCAGTAACGAGTGGCATCTCTCAGGGATCGGTGTTGGGACCGGCCTTGTTCAACATCTTTGTTGCTGACATGGGCAGTGGGAGTGAGTGCACCCTCAGCAAGCTTGCCGATGACACCAAGCTGTGTGGTTCAGTTGACACACTGGAGGGAAGGAATGCCATCCAGAGGGACCTTGACACTCTTGTGAGGTGGGTTGATGCCAACCTCATGAAGTTTAACCATGCCAAGTGCAAGGTCCTGTGCCTGGGTCAGGGCAATCCCAGGCACAGCTACAGGTTGGGCAGAGAAGAAATTCAGAGCAGGCCTGTGGAGAAGGACTTGGGGGTGTTGGTTGATGAGAAAATGAACATGAGCTGGCTTCAGTGTGCACTTGCAGCCCAGAAAGCAAACCGTATCCTGGGCTGCATCAAAAGGAGCGTGACCAGTGGGTCGAAGGAGGTGATCCTGCCCCTCTACTCTGCTCTTGTGAGACCTCACCTGGAGTATTGTGTGCAGTTCTGGTCTCCTGAACATAAAAAGGACATGGAATTGTTGGAACAAGTCCAGAGAAGGGCCACGAGGATGATCAGGGGACTGGAGCACCTCCCGTATGAAGACAGGCTGAGGAAGTTGGGGCTGTTCAGCCTTTAGAAGAGAAGGCTGCGTGGAGACCTCGTAGCAGCCTTCCAGTATCTGAAGGGGACCTATAGGGATGCTGGGAAGGGATTCTTCATTAGAGACTGTAGTGATAGGACAAGGGGTAATGGGTTAAAACTTAAACAGGGGAAGTTTAGGTTGGATAGAAGGAGGAAATTCTTTCCTGTTAGGGTGGTGAGGCACTGGAATAGGTTGCCCAGGGAGGTTGTGAATGCTCCATCCCTGGCAGTGTTCAAGACCAGATTTGATGAGGCCTTGGGTGATATGATTTAGCGTAAGGTGTCCCTGCCCACGGCAGGGGGGTTGGAGCTAGATGATCTTAAGGTCCTTTCCAACCCTAATTATTCTATGATTCTATTCTATTCTATGAAATGAAGGTCATCAAGTCAGAGAAAGGAAACACATCATGTGACCTAAACATCCAATCAAAAATATCAGCTCAGAATCTGAGTTGCCTAACACAGGCAGTCATCACCTAACTCCAAAATATGTACCACAAACAAATGCCTACAACTATTTAATTAATAGCTCTGAATAGTAAGCTGGAGAAAATGCTAAACTGTTCACAATGTGGGAAGAGAGGGAAAAGTTAAACTGCTTGCTCCAGTTGCAACTTTTACTATCTGAGAATCTTGCCCACTGTTCTTTTTTACTCTTCATTTGGCAGAATTTGGGAAGTTCTAACTGCTCACTACAAATTCAATAGTGTCTGTCTCCGTGAAAATGAAAGCTGCTGTTATAAAACTTTAAAAGTTTGAGTCACACCATGCTGCAACAGACAAGGAATAGTTTCTCGCATGGTTATAATTCTGGTGTGTCCTCAGGGAAGGGTCCTATAGGCAGTTCAATCTCATCTGAACTGCAGCTGCTGCACCATTTCTCCATCCCAAGCAACATAGTCTGCTCTAATGGAGAAGCACATCAGAGAAAATTAGCCGACAGAACAGTGACTAATCAGGCCCTAATCACACAAAGACAAGACCATTCAGTAATGACTACACTTAAACAGAATGGACTTCAGGAAAAATACTCCTGTAAGATCTGACAAAGCAGCAGACAACTGGAAGCCAAAACTAGGTTAGAAAACACGGCTCTAATCTTGGCCTAATTATTTAAAAAAAATCTGGATGAGGAAAAAAAAAAGAAAAAGAGAGGACAAAAAAAAAAAAAGAGTTTGTACCTGTGGTGCGGAAACAGTATTAAAACAGGTAAAATCAACTGTTGTGAAGCAGCAAGGAATTAGAGTGTACTGGATGAGGTACATCATCACACTGGGTCAGCGCATGTATGATCAACAAATTCTGATGATTCTGCTTTGGGGTACACTAATTTTGCTGGACATTGAGATATGTTGGGCAGTTTTGTTACGTGGCTGTGACAAGGATGAGTTCCAGAGTTCCTCTTGGTGTTTATTTGGTCTGCTGAATGTTTGCTGAGAAGAAGTTCAAAAGAAGGGATGTGTTTAACATCAAAATAAGCGTAATTAAACATTCACAACCAAAAGAGACTAAAGCCATCTACAGTATTGATACTAAAAACATTAAAGCGTCAGGTATTCAAAGGTAAAAGTCAGCAAAAATTCATTGCAGTGCTGCACGTTGTAGCTAAAATTTTAATTCTGCTGAAATGAGAGGCAAAATTACCTGCAAACTCAATGAATCCAAAGTTTACCATACAGATGAAATCAGAGCAATCTTTAAGAATATTTAAACAGAAAATGCAATTTGAGTCATAGAATCATAGAATCCTTGCTAATATTGCATCCAGTTTCTCTGATTCGTTGTAATCCCTCTCTAGTTTAGAGGACTACTAAATGCAGGATTATTTGTAATGAATTTTTTTGTTCACCAGTACATTCCATAACATCCCCTGCAATTGTTAGCAACACAGCATGGATTCTCCAAAACAAAGCTATATTCTCACACATAATTCTAGGCAAATAAGATTTTGGAAACAACTTGAGGTCATACAGGACCTACTTCCACAGGTATTCAGACAGGATTCAAAGCTTAAGTTTTAGACAGCAACTTGAATTAGCTGTGCAGCAGAGAAGTCAGCACTGCTACATCAAGTGTGAACAACAAAGGGTCAAAACCACCTCAAAAAGTAGCAATTTAATGCACTGAATGACAATCTTACATCCCACAGAATCATCACTGAACATATTTGAAATAGGTGTAACATACAAGCTCTTACTTTAGCTAGCCAGAAATGATGAATTTCTTAGAAAACTCATATATTGTTATGTGAGCTCATCCTGGCCACTGACGCCAATACCAAGACATGAAATTAATTACTGTTAGACAAGGCATTCTGATCAGGAATAATTAAAATCTTTTTTTAATATACATACATTTTGTTAACTTGTGGTGATGGCCATTTCCTTCTGAAGTGTAAGTATCAATAAGAACCATCAAAGTTCTCTTCCAGATTTAACTTCCCTCCCTATTTATCTCCTTCACTCCCTTTCTCTTCCTTTCACTAAAAGGAAAAGCCCAAACCAGAAAATCCTGAAGAGGTTAAGTTGCTTACAAGAAGAAAGCTCACTGTAGGAAAAAACATACACATAATATTTCAGTTCTGTTCACTGCCTCAGTCACTGTTAAGAGCACTGTTCTGTAGACTGATCTGGAAAAAATGAGGTAAAAAGATGGACTGGAAGTCAGAATATTTAAATGCTCTTGATTACTGACACACTTTGCTAATAAATCTTGAGCAGGTCAGTCAACTTCACTGTATTTCTAAAAGGATATATTAATTTTATCCATCTTTGAATAGTGTCCTGGGTTCAGCAGTAGCAGTCATGTTTTTCCTTCGTGTTAACTGGTGCAGTGCTGTGTTTTGACTTCTAGCTTGAGAACAGTGTTGGTGAAGCCGATGTTTTTGGTTGTTGCTAAGTGATGTTTACCCTGACCAAGGACTCTGTGAGGCTCATGCTCTGCCAGGGAGGAGGGGAAGCTGTGAGGAAGCAGAGACGGGGCGCCTGACCCGGGCTAGCCGGGGAGGTATTCCATACCACAGCACGTCATGCCCGGGGTGGGGGGTAACTGGGAGTTACCCGGAAGGACAGGGGTTTCCGGGTGGAACTCGCTTTCTTGGCCAGTGGTATCGTATTCTCTTCCCTTGTTATTTTCCCTTATCATTGTTTTAGCTGATAGTAGCGGTGGTGATTTGTTGCTGGACTGTTCTTGTCTCAACCCGTAGGAGTTGCACTCTCTCGATCCTCCTCCCCGTTCCTCCGGGAGCGGGGAAGGGGAGAGCCCCGGTGCGGGGGCGGGGGGGGGGGGGAGACGGACATGGACCTCGATTGTTGTCAGCTCGGCACCACTCACTGGGAGTGAGTGAACAAGTTACCTGACCGGGTTTAAACCATGACAAATAGTAATTTCATCCCATGCCTTCAAAGCCATTCCAAAGAGGATTGTGCCCTTTTTTTGTCACCGAGGCCAAAAGATCACCAGATAGAGGAAGATAACTCAATATTGTGTGGCAGTATGTGACACTGTTCCCTAATTAAACCACTGGAACAAAGAACAGTCATTAACATGGAATGATTCCAGATTCACACTGTTCATTTGTGGTTCCCCAAACGCAGCAAGTTATGATTTAGGTTCATATACTTCACTAGCTCAATACAGAAAAGTTTGTCAATGCTGAGATTTAAAATAGATATGCTTAAGATGTATGATTATACATATATATGGCTTATAAAATAATACGGATATTGCTTCCCCTCTTCCAAAGTTATCCAGTGCCTTTCATTAATGCACACAATGCACAATACTTACAGTGCTCTGGAGTGATTCCAACTAGTGCCATCCCAGCAGTCTTCTTTCCATGGTCATGGGCCAATTCTTTAAAGCATGCCTCTGCTGATTGAGGACAGACATGCATGAAGTATTCTCAAGAACATAGTATTACATATATTCAGCCTTTATACAAAAACAGTGTATTGTCATCTTATCTTGAAAACTTTCCACATCATAAGTTAGCTCAATTTTTACATTGTGAGGAAAAGCAACCATCCACAGATCCTTCAAGCCACTTGTATCGCTGCCTTGGATAGCACTTATTATTTCTCTTTGTGTAGCCAAATCTTGAGTGTTCATAGTCACACTGCACCTCACTCCATACGAGCTGGGTCCAATACCTGTAACACATTAGAAAAAGAGATATGTCAGAATAAAAATCCTCACTACTACTACTTGCACATCTCTTTGAAAAAAAAAAAAAAAGAGAGAGAGATCAGGTTTCTAGCTTTTCCAGACCTATCGTGATGGCATCCCATCTGACTCAAGTAAGAGTTCCTGGACCTATAATGCTACCACTTGTCCCATTAGTATTTAAGTTCAGTTTATCTTCATTTCTCAAAGTTCATTGTCTCCAGGTGACTTCTTAATCACAAATATCCAATATGTATGCACTCAATTTCCTTTTACTTGGTTTGATATTCTGTTGCTTTATTTCAGTGTGCTAAAAAAGAAAAGTCTTCTGAATGTACAGAGAAACGTGCTTAGTGAAAACAGATAAGGTGTATTTCATTTGTCCCTTTTTATCCACTCATATCAGCTTCATTGTCCATGCTGTAAAGTAACACCTAAATATTAATTATCTTGCAAAGATGAGCTTCTCTTTTTCCTGTTGTGTTCTGCATGAAAGAGCAAGGAAAAAAGAAAAAAAAAAAAGAGCTGATTTTGATTTCGTAACTAATGAACTTCTCTACATTACTCAGAAATGGAGCATAAGATATATCTACCCAAATTCCTTTTGAGGTGAGTAATAACTGATAAATACTTTTCTCCAGTTAATATCAACAATAAATTGATGTATCACTGTGCTTTAGAAAGTACCTTGAATATCAATTGTTTTGACCTATCTCCAAAGCTTTAAAATATAATGAATGAGTAATTATTTCTCTAAGACACCAGTGCCTGTTGCTCAAGAAATATCTGGGCTCAATTTCACACTGCAGGAAAAAAAGCAACTACTTCTATGGCTTTGGCACAGCAGCACATTCAACAAAACTTTCCTAGCAGCAAACAAAATGAAAACATCTTGCTTGTGGCACTCCTTTTAGCCAGTGCTTTAACAAGAGTCTCTAGATTATAATCAAACTTGTAACTGAAAGAATAAATGCTAACTCCCACTTATATGAAAAGGGGAAAGTCAACCAAATGTAAATCTTCTGCTGCTCACTGCCAGCTATATCAGATTCATATTCGCAGTTAAATGTACTACAAAATAATTTAAAATCACTTCAACTGTTTACAATGCCAATCTAAACCAAAATGATAGTATGTTAGAAAGCCAGATTTTAAAATGAGAAAGAAGTATAAGTGGATTTATGTAAGAAGTTATAGGACAAGAGGTAACAGCCTCAAGCTGCACCAGGGGATCTTTAAACTGGATATTAGAAAAAAAATTCTTCACAGAGAGGATGGTCAGCACTGGAACAGGCTGCCCAAGGAACCGGTAGAATCACTGTAACTGAAAGTGTTCACAAACCATGCAGATGAGGCCCTTAGTGACATGGCTTAGTGGTGGACTTTGCGCTCATGGGGTAAAGGTTGGACTTGATCTTAAAGGTGTTTTCCCACCTAGTTGATTTCATGATTCTATGACTCTATAGACCCAAAAAGAGGACACTGAAATTTTACTTTTTTCAGTGGTACAATTTGCAAATACTTGGAACCTCAGGTAACGCTATTTTTAGTGTACTTGCCACAGCTCTGTTGATAAAGGCTTTGGGTTCTACATAACACACACAATCACTCTTAGTTTTAGCTCATATTTCTTTTCTCCTGAGCAATATCAAAGTCCTTGCTGCATGTTCACTGAGCACTCCCTGGCACTTAACTCAGAATAGGGTGAATTCTACTCTTGTCTCTACAGATGAGACCTGACCAAGCTCCACAAGTAATAGAATTTTCTTTGTGACCTTTCTTATCTTCTTTAGCAAATGAAGAATTTTTGTTTATAGTTCTTCGCAAAGAATGAATGTCTTTACATGAGTTTACTCATGCTGAAGTTCATTATCTCCCATATCTTACAAAATGGAAGAAGGAATAATTATGATGAGATTCTAGTGATCCACCAGAGAATGATGAATCACAATAACAGCATTCAGCAACTGACCAGCAATCCAAAGCCTGAATAATCTGTATGTTTTTCAAGTTTTAAAGCTTATCACTTAGAAATGTCACTGAAAATGCAAAGAGGACAATCCTATTGTGACAGACAAAAATTCAATCCATGATACAAAGAGCTTACAAACCACTCATCGGTTGGCTTTGTGCTACAGGAATACACAAGATTGAAGAGCTTCACTTACTGTAATTATAAAATAATATTTCATTGCTATGCTAATAATATATTTGACAAGTTGCTTCTAAGTACAGCTTTACATTGCCTTAGAAAAAATAATTCTTCTCCCTCCCCTGTTTAGAGTAACTGTGTGGCTCTGCATAGAACACAGACATTAATATATCTGTAGAAGACTGAGTTCACAAGACAAATGGCCATACACATTGATTTAAAAATATACCTCTAGATTTCAGGCTGGTGTTATGTTAATGGTGAATGAAATAGAGAAAGTCTTGTAAGGAGTGGCTGAGGGAACTGGAGTTGTTTAGCCTGGTGAAAACAAGGCTCAGGGGAGAACTTGTTGCTCTCTACAATAACCTGAAAGGAGGCTGTAGGGAGGTAGTTGTCTTTTCTCCCAAGTAACAAGAGATAGAACAAGAGGAAATAGCCTGAAGTTGCTCCAGGGGAGTTTTAGATTGGATATTAGGAAAATTTTTTCACCAAAAGGGTTGTCAAGCATTAGAACAGGCTGCCCAGGGAAGTGGTTAAGGCACTATCCCTGGAGATACTTAAAAGATGTGTGGATATGGTATTTAGCAATGTGGTTTAGCGGTGGACTTGGCAATGTTAGGTTAATGGTTGGACTGGATGATCTGAAAGGCCTTTTCCAACCTAAATGATTATATGATCATCTGTTCAGAAACAGGAACATGAGAAGTTATCGTGCAGGTCACAGTAGTGAAGACAGGACTCCATAATTCTGATCTCTGCTCTAACGCTCAGCCTGGTCAATCATACTGAGTCTCATAAAGAAACCAAACATACCTGTATGCAGTCTGCAAATAAATCAATTCATTTTAGGTAAGCATTCAACACAAAAGTCTCCCCTAGTATTTTTCTTATTCATAAAGGAATCGTACAAAGCTTCAAGTTTCCCTGGCAATTCTGCCATTTAAAAACAACAAGCAAAAAATGGGACACACACCCCCCCCCTGCCCCCAGTGCAAACCATACAGCCAGTGATCCTCAGAGTTAAAGGTCTACAGTTAGCCAATAGTGATGTAAACTCCTTATGCCAGATTGTTAAAGTACAGAAGATAGCAGAAATGCTCATAATCAAGATCTGATGTTTGCTTTTTCCTCTGGACACAAACACAGTATTTGTGTTTGAGCACTGGCAGTAACAACTGTGAACTATGCTATTAATATCTGATTTAAAAATGCTTGTGGCAGGATCCTGTCTGGAGGAACAAAAAAAAAAAAGTATTCAGACAAAACAACAGTTAGAAGTGCATTAAAAAAAATTAACAGCAGTGATTACAGAAGAAAACCATGTATTCTTCTCTCAGGAAGTTATTGACATATAACTTCTCTTAAGATAGATCCAAACACTGCCATTCTCAACTAAAATCCAAGTTTCTGAGAAGATGTATTTTTAAAGTATATGCAAATCCTTGTTTTATTTAAAGGGAGAAAAATAGCTCAGTACCATTTTTGCTTATTTTCCCTGAACATCTTTAGGTTAAATAAATGGATATTAAACAGACTAAGAAGTCCAGCTGCATTAAGGGCTTAATTTATTAACTTGGGCTTAAGAATTTACACTTTAAAATAGATCATAGAATTAGGGCTTCTGAATTTCAGTCAGGGATGCAATGAAAATTGCTGGCAGTTTAGAGCAGCAATTCACACCAAAATTACATGAGGCATCCATTTGCTAAACAGTCTCCTAAAATGATCTCTGGCTCCAAATCAACATCTGGAGGTGCATCCTTTTCACTGACTATCCATCGAATTTAGCTGCCTATTATAAGTGGCTAAAGTAGGACAATATTAATTTGTTTCTTTGACTGTTCCTACTGAGACATTCTGTAGTGTTTGCTAATGCTATGTAAAACCAGCCCTAGCAATTAGTCATTTTGGTTGTTGTGTTTGGTTTTTTTTTGGCAAGATATGCATATAGAAACATTCTGATGATTGTTGCTACAAATTTTTAAGGACATAGTCAACACAGCCAAACCAAAGACCTGGGGAGACCCATGATCCAGGTAGGCAGAAAATACCCATCCTGTCATCTTTTTGCTGTGTGTGGGTTTCTGGCAAGCACTTCTGGAAAAGCATCCTGCCCAAATTTGGCTGTTGTTATCAGCCACATGCCTTCCACTGTTAGATTTACCAAAAATTCACAAGATGGCATCAAATTCCCCTTGAAAAGCAACTGCTCTATTGGAAGTGTAATCAATTAAGGTGGGTTTTGTGGGCTTTTTTTCTGTTTGTGTTTTTTAAGGTTTTGTTTGGTTGGTTCCAACAGGATTACAGAATTTTAGCTTGAATGACTGTCCAGGTATTTTCAACCTCCCTGCAGGTGTAAGACCTAAACCAGAACTATCCTATGGAATCCACTCCTGCAGTATTAAAATTTACTGGTAGAACTTCACTCACAGTGAAGCTGTAACTCAAATTTAAAACAGGTCCTTATAAAAGGACTGTTCTGTTGTCTTTGCTCCTTGCTTTCATTTATAACATTTTGGAATCCTAAACTTGAAACCTATTTTACAAACTGACAAGTTTCTTACTGCCCTACTGTAAATACAGCCTGTATGAATTTTCTTGCCCTTTCTTTAGTTATTCAATTTTGTGAAAAGTTTACTTTGTTTGTAATGGAATGAAAGAAAATTATCTGCCTTCAGGTTCCTTTGCAGACCTGACATATTAAAACACAGCAGTTTAATAGATATTTATTGAATACTTCAGATCTAGAAATAAGGAACATTACTGATTTTTGCTTGCCCATTATCTGAAGTTCTGATGAAAATTAAATCTCTTCCAGACCAAAAATTTGC